ACGCCGTACTGAAGATTAAGCACGCGATGTCGGTTGTCAGACCAATTACTGCATTGGAATTATCTGCGCATTACATCAGCGTGATTTAAAACATGAATCATACCGTAAGATCAACGTAACGCCAGCCGTAGGAGCAGCAGTCGTCGGTCGGGAATAAAAAGAAACAATGTAATTTTGAATGTACTCCCCGGAACGCAACCGAGTGACGCCCGGTTGGCATTGCACACGATTGTGTAGCACGAAAGTGCTTACCAATCCATCGTAAGATGCCCTCTTTTCTGGATTTGGCAAGTGACGTTTTCGGCATAAGGTACTTTCTAGCATGCCAAAACCACCATTGGTATGCGACCTTAATAATCCATATACAAAGTTGAATACTCATGCAATTGAATGTCAAGTTCTTACTTCTTTCTCTTAGTCATTTTTCTTCTCACAGTTCTTTCTTCTGGCCACAGCTCTTTCTCCTTGTAACAGCTCTTAAACAGGTCGTTTTTTGCCACGGACTTTCCAATCAGCTTGGTTTGATGTAAAGAGTGTAGTGGCGAACCAGGGGCGGATACAGGAGAACAGAGTACCAGAGAGGCATTTTCCCCCGATCTCGGTGCATGGATACCTAAAAACACGCACAGAAACGGTTTCCCCGTGTTGGACGAGGATTTTCATTGCAATGCTCGCGTTCTGCTGATACGCAGGTACCCCTCTCGTATAAATTTGAAAGAGATTAGAGTGGCACAATATCGGCGCGATACGCCCCTCCCCCTTCCTACCCTTCATGATGGCCATAACCTGTGCTTTATTGAGTCCATCCCGTGATGAGCAATGGTGTATCTTTTCTTAACATGGCCCCAGTGACCACGATCGGATATTTTTACGTCAAATAGGCGCTCTTTATAAATACGGCACTCTACAAGAGACATTGGGTAACGCAGCACAACGACGGAACCGTTACATACTGTCGAGTGGCAACCCCATGATTTGCAGAAATAACGTAGCGGAAAATAAACCCCTCCTCGTTTCGTATCGTGCCGTATGATAGTGCATTTTGAACAGAACGCGAAGGCATGTGCGAGTGGGGCGTTGGGAGTAACCCAAAGGCGCGAGCGCCAAATACTGAACACCTCTCCTTCTATTTCAAGCAAGCAAGAAATCACGGAGGCGCAAATCTATTCAGTTATATATATATATATGTATATATATATACATATATATATATATATATATATATATATATATATATATATATATATATATATATGTAAACTACCTATGGTTGGCGCCGTCTCACCCTCCAGGCCAGCGGCGCCCAGAAGCATGCCGAGTTCTGCCTGTCTGCGAGTGCTGTGAATGGTAGGCATCTGTTGTGTAATGCGGGAACATTGCTCGCTGTGTGTGCTTTGGAATAGAACAGTAAATAGAAAAGTCTAGGACGGTGTCTTACCTAAAACCCCAAGAGCAGCAGGGGCCTCAGCGAATGGGATCGAGGAGAAATGGGCGTTGAGCACTGCGACATTAAGTCTTAATGTCGTATAGAGAATGTGCCTGTCTTTGTGCATGTGCACAATGATATAATTATATATATATATATATATATATATATATATATATATATATATATATATTGCATACATAGTCATAACAGTTATGATTTGCGCTTTGGATCGTTTCATTTTCCTTTGCATTTCGTTTCTCGTTTTATTGAGAAGGACCTCATTAAGTTGTGACTGCGTTTGACCGCACCAGCATCGTGAAAGGTAGTGAGCCGGATGAGCCGGGACTGCTAATGGAAAATAGCGCGCTGTCGTCATATGTTGGTTTTCCTGTGATAAGAAGTGATGCCAGCGGCCGGTAAGTCCGGCGCTGGTGATTCACTCCTCACACAAATGGTGCGAAAGTACGTGTGATAGCGGGTGAAACACGGGACAGAAATGAGCGCTCGTGTGAGATGAGATCAAATCGTCGGTCAAAAATCTCCTCAGCTCATTTTCATCCGCGAGGGCCTCTGTGCTATTCATAGGAACGCAATGAAAAAACGTACAACATCGCATCCATCTCACAAAGTGCCACGGCGGTGATCTTAGGGAAAAAGGGATCGGATGCCGTGGCAGAAAAAGATGCTCTGCTCATAAAGGTTACTCGTCGTCCTACGAAACAGCACGCATAACAATGATGAGCCACGCCCCCGTCAAAAGCACGCTTTTGGTCTACTCGGGAACGAGGGGCTAGACTGACGTCATGCGCTCTGTGAATTTATCTCACTAAAAGGTATTGCAGCCATATTAAGAGTAAAGAAGGCGATACAAATGGGCACCCTTTCAAAACTTGGTGTCTTCCTCCTGTCTGGCATTGGACGTCGCGTTCGCATCGAGTGCGTCGCGTACCAATTAAAACGGGATAAAACGAATCAATAACGAGGTTCAGATTCACTAACATGACCTGGTCAGCCTGCTGTGATTCATGAAGGGTCACTTGTTCTGTGTTGAAGCCACGCCAATCCGATGTGGCATCGCGTGCGCTATCCAACGCCAGCTTCCACCAGACTGTAGCGTGCTTAGCTGTCGAAATAGACCGGGCTTGTGAGACTCCTTATCCGGCGAAGGGAAAATGCCGACTGGCAAGGCCAGCTATGAGCCAGTGCTCCCCAAGGGAGGCAAAGTCCTTCGATGCTGCGTTCAGGGTGCTGGCACGTTACCGGCAATGCCCTGGCGATTTCTCCGTATCTTAAATGACGTCTGTTTGTCGCGCTGTTTACAGCCTACTTGCATGAAGTTTCCGCCTGTCGGGTATGGTGAATGTCAAAGCGGCGGGTGCACGCTGTCCCAAGATACCGAGCCTCATGCCGCATGTCATTTGATGCCGGTCACCATCCGCACCGTGCGGCTGACGGAAATAGCGGAGTCCATGCAGGGCCGCCCTGTCTGCACCATCTTCTCACATGCGCGACGCCCGCCCCTTTTCGGGAAAGAGTCGTGACGTAACGTTGGGATGCCACGCGGCCCGGGAAGGCCGGCTGAATGGTCTGTTTATCGCCCTGATCGCGGAAGACCCGGTCGCAGTCAACAACTTCGAAATGAGGCATCCACCAGGCACGCCAATACCGGCTCCGTCGTGGAAACGGCGAAACAGCAAATCCGCCCGCTCATGCGATTAGATCAGTGGGACCGGAATCGCAGGACACCTTCAGATGGCTTTCTTTCTCCATCCAGTAGGCAGACACCGTCAAAACGCATGCAATTGTTTTGGATTTCTGAGGATGCTTGCGGCTGTCCCCAGGTCAGCATCAGATTCTGGGCGTCAGTGCTTTGTAGAAGTACAGGTGTCAAAAATAGCACTTGACCTAGAAAGGCGCCTGACATTTGGTTCACAAGACGCCCAGCTCGTGGGAAAATGCGCCGGCATACGTTTGGCCCTAACACACGCAAGCGTAGTTTGATTTTGGCATCATCTTTGCAGTTGTTAAGTCGCTGCAGTGATCTCCACAATGCGCCGCTGCATTTCGTTTTACGCCACTCAATGAGGAGCTGGAACTCTTCCCTTTCAGAAACTGTTGAATGTTTGCACACGCATACTTTCCGGCAAATGAGGCGAGACCACAAATCTGCTGAGCTCCGTCCTCTGGCGAGGCTGAGCACGCAAAAAACTTACACTGTACCCCCGTTCGTGGTCTACCTGGGAAGTGTCAATCGACGGCCACCCGTCTGGCATAACAGTGCAACTGCCTACCATAGCTCACCAACACAGCACGAGGTCTCATGTTCTGTTTCATGGACGCAGAGCCAAAACAAGTGCAGGCGCTTGGAGGCTGTTACAGCGCAGCTGGCTCATAAAACTGTTTACTTCGTAAGTTTCACTTAAGGCTCAACTCACGGCGCTGTTGCCAGACGGACAGAAGTGAGTGAGTGAGTGAGGGAGTGAGTGAGTGAGGGAGTGAGTGTCGGATGCAAATCATAACATATGTGCCGCTTGCTTCGTCCGCTGTTGTTGATGCTGCTCCTCGCTCACTCCACTCGTTCCACATCTCATTACGACAACCAACCTGGAATACCCAAAGGGGTTCCTATGGAAGGTTGTGCCAACAGTTGCCCTTGTCAAATGGTGCAATATTTTTATATCATTAGGCAACTGTATCAGTCGTGACAAGCATTAATTTCGCCTCTTGGCCGGCACGTATTTGACCGGCCCCCAACGCGACGGGCCTCGTGATGAGCTGTGAATCTAATGATCTCACTGGCAACGCGCATAGATAGACGGTTTGGTGATCGCCACTTGTGAGCGTCACGTGACCCAGATGCACCAGCCGCCAGAGCGATACGTTGTGGGAATTCACGTCCTCGTTCAACTCTCATCGAGTGAGAACTACGAAGCATTGCGCACGGTCCCCGAATGGGCGCATGGTCTGTCACGCATGCCGGCGAATGACAGGTTAGGTGACAGTTGTCACGCATGCTGGCGGATACGTTACAGTTGCCACGCATGCCTACATGCCGGTGATTCGCGGCGTCCATTTACGACAACGGCTCATCGCACTATCATTCCTTCGATAAGCATAAGTCAGTGCTGGACATGCCACCTCGCACGTGGTGGCTGCCGTTGCTGTGGGCGCCCGGTGTGGGCTACGGCGCTCGTCAGTGTGCTGACAGGCGGAACCCCACATTCCCCGCGGGCGACACTCTGCGCCATCTTGGGAGTCATTTCTCATTTTGGATATTGTGTACATTGGACATTACGAACCTTGGACGTTCTGTACATTAGACATTGTGTACATTGGGCATTATGTATGTAGGACGTTCTGTACTTTGGGCATTATGAACATCTCCACACCGAGTCATTTTGGAAGCTATTTCCCAGTTTGACATTGTTCGTTGGACATTACAAACTGCAGGCATTCTGTACGTTTGAACATCCTGTACTTTGGACAATCTGAACGCCTCCCCTTTCCCCTGGACCGCTCATCCGTGGCTTAATCCGCAAGTTGCTTTCAGAGGGGCACTGTAATACAACAATCCATAATATGTTTGTTTATTTCACACTCACTTTGTGGGATATATGAATGGTGACGGGTACTTCAGTGAACACAAATCAAAACCAGACTCAGACATCTACCACTTCGACACACGTATCTACAAAAGGCGCGATAAAATAAATACGTTCTTCATGTTTGATACACATCACGCGTTCTCTACATGGTGATGGCGACTCCACGAAACTATAGCACAAAGAAGACTGCCGTGACTCCCAGCTAGTACAACGTGAGAGTATACAAGACAAGGGTGGCGTAAGCTAATGGCACACTTCACGGCTAAGACCGACTGCGGCCGGGGGTCCCGGATCAGTCCGGAGCGGCAGAGCGCGCCGCGCGGGCCGGGCCTCCTCCGCCCGACCGTTGGGTCGACGTACGTCACGTGACCCGACGGCGCGATCACAAACACTCTCCGACCGCCTCGGACGGACACGGTCCGGGCGATCTAAGTTGAGATCATGACACAGGCGGGCGTAATACTTCCGACGGGGCCGGGGGCGCGGCGGGGCGGGCGCACCCGGGCCCCGGGTGCGCCGCCGACAGCCGGCCGCCTCCGCGGCGCGTGGTCGGCGGCGAGGTAGGGCAGTGCGGCCGCCGCTGCGGCTTCTCCCGACCCAAGCGCGGTCAGGCCTCCGTCTCCAGCGGCCGGCGGGGACTCTGCTGGCCGGTCGGCGGCGCGGGGTCGGGCGCGGGCCGCTCCGGTCAGCTGGTGCACGTTTCCAGCGGCCGGCAGGGGCTCTGCTGGCCGGCTGGCGGCCCCGGCAGGCACACCGCGCTCGGCGCCGAGCCCTCCGAGCACGTGCTGAGCTCTGAGCGCAGACACTGTTCCCACTCCAGCAGCTGGCCCATGAAGTTGAGGTTGGGGCTGATGATGGGGCGGCGCGACTTGACCAGATGGTACGCCTCCAGCATGGTCATCGGCAGGTACTTCATGATGTAGGCGATAGCGATGGTGGGCGAGCGAGACACGCCGGCCACGCAGTGGACCAGCACATTCGCCTGATGCCGCCGGGCGCAGTCTGCAACGCAGGGGAACGCGCGGTCAGATAGGCGGCAGAAAGACAACGCTGGTCATACACGCCAGAGAACGGTCACATGCAGTCCTGTGCCCGGACGCCGCGCGAGCGTGAAGCCCACCGTCATACAAGAGCAGTCACTTTCCATTACAAGGACTCCAATAGCGATTGCGGTAGCTGACGAAATTTACGGGGCCGTCAGACCGCGCGCGGAGCACCACCTTCGACAAAACGCTGCATAAAGCAAAGGCCGCGGCTTATATGGCTCCGTGTAGCGTCCCAACTGGGAACCCCCAGGAAGCCGGCGCTCATTTACTGGCGAGCGGGCGCACGCCCTCGCCGTGCACGCCCGGGCGCTACCATTCAAAGCGGCCGCCGTGCACGCGATGGCATGCCATGACGTGCCAGGACGCCTTGAAATCGCTGGTGCCGAGCGCCAGCCACGGCCTGAGAGCGGCGGCCGGGCCGGGTCCGGCGCGAGGCGCGCGGCCGGCTTCCGTGCCGTTCCAGGGCCGTGGCCGCGCCGCGCCCGCCCTCCAGCCGTCAATGCGGGCGGTCCACTTCCCGGCCGGTGACGTCATCCGGCCCAGATTCCGCGGACGGCGCATGCGCACGCCGTGTTTTCCATGTATGAGTCACGGCTGCCGGGGACGATCAATAGCGGCCGCAGCGGCAGATGGCGGCGCGGAGAGCGACGACACCAGCCGTGCACGGCCGCCAGCGGCGGCGGCGGCGCGCGCTAATGGCCTGCCACTCACACGCGCCGCCCTGTTTCGCTTGGCGCGGCGGACGGTGGCCGCACGCCGCGCCAGCACCGCGCTGCGCGCGACGGCCAGGCCACTTTGTCACCCGCCGCCGCCGCCGCCGAAAACACTCCTCGCAACTGCAGCTCCGTGCGTCGCTGGCGACGACCTCGCCGGTCGTCCTCGCCGCCCGCCAGCCGCGTCTGGACGCGCCTCTGCGGGCGATGAGTCATCCCGGACCGCAATCGGTGACGTCAGCGGCGGCCGACCAATGGCAGGGCGCGCCGGGCGGCCTCGGTGAAAGGCCGCTCTGCGACGCTGAAGTGCCTGGCGACCGGCCCGGGCCAGCAGCGGCGCCGCCCACACGGCTGCGTTGCACACGACGTGGCCGGGTTCGGGCGGGGTCAGGCGGCCGCCGCGTCACCGGCCCGTATCGCCAGCGATGCCGGCGGTGTCGAATGCAGCAGGCGCCGGCTGCGCGGCCGGGGCGGCCCATTCGCTGCCTAATCGGCGCCGCATGTCGAACACGGCGCTGCGGCACCCGTCGATTACCAGCCTCTGGGGGAGCCGAGACGAGGGAGAGCGGCACCCCAGCCCGTCTCGCCCCGCGCGTGAATCATAAGCCCGTCATTGTTTGCTCCCATTAGCCCATTATCAAACAATGAAAGCGTCGTTTGCCGTTTGGGCGGCGAAATCTGGGGCCGTTGTGCGCGGCGGGTCGTTTGTACTCGTCGGTGACAGACGACCGCGTGTGAGTCAGAGCCGGGGACGTCAGCTCGCCGGAAGGGCTTAACGCGCGCCGCCGCGAGGCGACAACAGGGTCCGGCTGTCTCGGCCCGGCGCGGCCGCCGCACCCAGGTCCGACGCCGGGGACAGCTGCGCCGTGCCCATGTCTGGCAACGCCGCCGAGCGCCGCACGGGACGCCCTGCAGCGATCCACACGGCAGTTGCCAGTCCATCCAGTCGCCGTTGCCAGGTGCGCAGCTGGCGCGTTCGAAAAACGCCGCTGGAACTTCCCCGGATCCAGTCCGCTCGACGCAATGAGAACTTGAAGGGCCCGCTCTGGATCGAGCCTCGGGCGCCGCCCACAGATAACACAGAACTGACGGTGCGCCACCGCGGGGCCTTCGGGGAAGCCCTGGGCCCGTGCGCGGGCGCGAGCGCCATCGGCCGGCTTTTCCAGGCTTTTTGGGGGTGTTTGACACAGCAGGCGCGACAGGCCGTACCGATCGGCGGCAGTTCGAACGCGCCCCAGCGCCTGGCGTGCGCGGCTGCGACTCACGAGTCGTGACTCACACCTGAGCGACGCCCGCCACCGCAGCGCAACAAAGGACATGACAGGCCAACGTCATGTGGGCGGGCAATGACTAAGGGGCGTGAAAACAGCCCTAAAAAAGGTCGGGGTCGCATGTTGAGGCATGGTTACGCCATGATTAAGGGTCTAGAATTACCAGTGTTCTTAGAAGGCACAAATGGGCAGGAAGAAATCAACAGAAACGTCTCACGATGAGCGATTGGCAAATCAATACTCGGTGTCAATTTCCACCAGAGGACAGGAGAGGACGGCACGGAATGGGAGCGACAAAAATGTCCCAATCTACAGCGGCAGCCGGCGAGGGCACGCCGCCAGACTCGGACGGCGTAACGAATGCGTGACGTCCGTGGTATAGGCTGCTATGCGCCGAGCCTGCCAAGCCGCCCGGCCAACCCGCCGGGCCCGCTCGGGTGTGGCGGCGCGTGGTCCGGCCCGAGACGTCAGAGACGCGTCGGCCCGGAGGCTCAGCGTCAGAGACGCGGACGCGAGAGCCGCCCCGCGACCCCGGCGCGGCCTCGGTCGGCCGGGCCCATCGATTTCCGCCTCCGTATTCGTGAGGTGGGCGGTCGGCCCCGGGTCGGCTGACAGTCCGCCGCGTCGCTGACGCCGGCGCCGCGGCGTATGACGGAGCACCGCCGGCGACACACCGTCTGACGGAGCATCACTGGCGCCGCAGCGTATGACGGAGCACCGCCGGCGACACACCGTCTGACGGAGCACCACCGGCGCCGCAGCGTATGACGGAGCAACGCCGGCGACACACCGTCTGACGGAGCACCACCGGCGCCGCAGCGTATGACGGAGCACCGCCGGCGACACACCGTCTGACGGAGCACCACCGGCGCCGCAGCGTATGGCGGAGCACCGCCGGCGACACACCGTTAGGAAGTTATCGATGTTTTGAGGCACCACTCCCTTAACCTTACGCCGCCCGCGCGATGCTAAATCTTGCCAAGGCTGTTGGAGGCTTTCCTCCGCCTTCCCCGCGTCAGCGTCCGCCGCCGCCGACGTGGCGGCACACCGTCTAACAAGGCGTCGCCGGCGCCACACCGTCTGCGTCACATAATATCGACGGGGCGATTGCCGCCACCGACGCTGGCCCGTGCCGGTCGCCGCCGCCGCGTCGGTGACGGCGCAGGGGGCGGGTCGCCGTCGCCGACTATTTCCGTCGGCGGCGACGCGCCTCCTCTGACTCACCGCCGGCGGAAGTGCGTACGGCGCGCGGGAGGGGGAGGGAATCGACCCGGTGGGGAGCGGCACTCACCGATGAACTCGAGCGCCTCGTCAAAGTACTGGCTGATGTTCTGCTGGCCCGAGTCGGCCGCCGGCAGCGTCTTGTAGCTGATGCCTTGCTGCTGATGGTAGCCCGGCACGTGGGCCGTCACGTTCAGCACGCGCGTGATGCCGCAGTTCTGCGGACGGGAGTGACGTCATGAGCCGGGTGCGGCGGGGCGGGGCGCGGACACGGCGGCTGGTAAGCCCAGCCCCCGTGATCTGCGCCACGGTGATGGGCTACTGATGACGTCAGGGAGCCAGCTGGCGGCCCGCTAATTCGTATTCTGCAGCGGGCGGGAAGACCGCGCACCGCGTGCGGGCGTTTTGGAGTGGCGACCCACGCCGAGTGCACGTGATCACTGTTAGCAGTTCCGTCATCTGGGTGTGATCGAGCACGCGGCCATGTGAGCCCCCCACCACCACCATCGGATAACGCTCCAAATGAAAGCCGGGTATTTCCAAGTCGTAATCTCTCCAAGATGACACGAGGCTTATGCTATCGGCTGTACGTCATGTGCCTCTGCAGCGCAAAGCAAATGCAACAGACATGACCGAGTACATTCCTCCGTCTGCAGGCGGCGGTCGCCCCCCGCGTCCGGGAGGTGGCTGGGCGGACCTGGCACTCACCTTGAGACTGACCAGGTCCTTGGCGTCTTGCTGGTTGCCGACGTAGAGGAACGGCAGGATCTGCGTCACCTGCGCGCTCTCGATCTCGTCGGCGCGCTCGCGCAGCTGCGCCACCGAGTCGGGTCCGTCGAGCGTCATCGGACGCAGCTCCGAGTGACAGAGCGACGCGAAGTCGCGGCAGAACGCCTTCATGCCACCTGGCGACGGAGAGCAGCGGTGGTGAGCGGACGTGCGCAGCGAGGGCGGAGGCGCGGCGAGCATGAGACGGCCGCCACTCGGGAGACGGGACGCTGCGAGCCGGGCCGACGCCAGCACAGCCGCCCAGCAGACGCCGCCGCCGTGATGACCTCAGCAGGCACATATGCGGCCGACAGGCTGACGGTGCGGGGTGAACGCTCGCCGCGCCGCCGCTCGGGATCCGGGCCAGCACGCGGCGTACCCATGACCGCCGGCTGAGTCAAACAACTGCGTTGTTGAGCTACACAAACACGGCCAACACCTGTTGGGAGGGCGGGGCAGTGTACTCGCATTTAGCCTGGGCCCGTCGCCCAAACCAGAATAAGCGCAGCTGGTGACCTGGTGTGGTCTGGAGGCGACATTTTAAGACCAGAAGCTTGAGCGAGGCCGGGTTAAGACACCGGGTGGCTAATGCCCACTCAAAACAGCCCGCCCGATGACCCAAAATACCGAGGGTATGTTACAAATAGACGCACAAGTCATTTATAAGGCTCATTAGCGTCGCCAGCGCCACGTCTCGGTTGTCGCGTTGGGCCCAGTGAAATATGAAGCCAACCAGAATTGAGCCCGGGACCTTTGAAGCTGGAGGCCACCGCCCTGGCCATTACTCGCGCCGCTGTCGGCCAGTGTTTACAAATGCTCCGCGTGCCGGCCGCTTTTGGCCGCGCGCGTGGCCGTCGTGAGTCAAGGGCCGCTGAATCACTCCGCCGCGGCCACCCTCGCCGACGACCGTCGCCGCCGACGCCGCCGACGCCGCAACGAGAGGTGCGGGGGAAGATAAGACGATGAGTCAGCGGCTCCCCTGGCGCGGCGGCGGCGGCGGCGGCGCTGGCCGGCGCTCGGCTGTCGGCGCGCCTCATACGGCCGGTCGGCTGCGTGCTGCCCGCCGGCTATTTGTGTCGCCGCGTGGCTGTCGTCGGACTCGTGCTGGGCCGGGCCGGGCCGGGCACGGTGTGACAGTGAGCCAGCGCACAGCACCGGCCCGGCCCGCCGGCCGCAGCGTGCGCTCTCAGCGACGCACCGTCACGGGGCGCTTCGTCGCACACACCGTCTGGCGTATAGCGTGCGCCGACTGTACCAACGCTGCGCGCTAGCCGCGACCGTAACGGTTCCCGCAGCCCGGGCACAGTTCGGGAGACGCGGGAGGGCTGGACTCTGAGCCGAAGCCGGGCCGTCATCAGCCCTGTTGAGGGATCGCGCTGGGCTCAGACGGCTCTGGCTGATCAGCCTGCAGACGCGCGACGGTCGGTCGGCTGGCGCCGGCTCAAGGCGAGCGGCGCGGAAGTCTCGGCGCCCGCCCGGCGCCGAAGCGAGGGGAGCGGGTGAGGAGGCAGGAAGGGCGAGACGAGGGCCGTGGGAGAGAGTGGGCCTGCCCCGCCGGGCCGGTGCCGGCTGCGCGCTGTCGGAATGCTGCGCCAGGTGCACAGGATGCTGGAGGGAGCGCGCGTCGCCCGGCGAGGAAGCGGAAATAGAAGCGATGCCGATTTGAGAGCGCGAGAGGAAGGAAGTGGAGGGGAGCGAGCCGGCGAGGGGACAGGCGCAAACGGCCGTTTCCGGCGCGGCCGGAAGCGGCGGCGCGCCCCGGCCCGGCGCCGCTGTACTGATTGTGGCCGCCAGATAACGGCCGCCGGACGGCCTGTCAGTTGAGATAGGCCGCGTGCCGCGGACACGGGCGACCCTGCTCTGCTCCCCACGCGGGGCGCGGGGCGGGCCCTAATTGATGCCGAGACACTGCGGCCGGCGAGGGGAAGCCTCGTCACTGGCAGGCCGCGCCCGCGCTCGCCCCAGACGCTTTGACAGCTGCAATTTAATCTGGGAGTCCAGCTGTGTGGATCGTCATTGAAAGGGCGACAGGGTCGGATGAAGACTGAATGGTCCGATTGGAGCTGCAGCAAAATGAGCGGAACGGGGCGCAACAAGGCTGGAGAGGGGACGCCGACCATCAAAAGCGGCGGTTAACAATCAGGCTTAGCTGCGGCACAAAGAGCATGGGAGATAGCCAACTGCGCTGTGCGTTCAGCCCCGGTCTCACTCTCCCTTTGCGGGGCACACACGCCCTATCGACCGCCAACAGGGACCTTTTGAACGGACGTAGGGAGTCGTGATTGACCGCCCGCGCGTAACATCCTGTCAAGTGTCCGCTCATTGTAAATTTCAAAATTTTCCAGCCAACCTCTACATCCTTCCGGTCAGGGGCCAGGTGTCGACACCGGAACCGGACAAACCGCCGGGAAAACTGCGGAAACCGCCGCCAAACGGAAGCGGGGTCCCGAGCCCCAGTTCTCACCCCCGGGTTGTTGCCCAACCGTCGCCACCCCCGCCGCGTCGCGGGACGCCCGACACACATCCGAGACCATGACCCTCCGCCGACCTCGCCCGCCGGATGAGCCGGCCCCAGCGGCCGCACGCACACCGCCACCGGAAGGGGCACACTTCCGGCCGGAAGTGCGTATCGCGCGTGAGCTCGCGCCATCAGCGGCCGGTCCCCGGAGGCGGCGTCCAAAAAGCAGGCGGCAGTCACGTGACCGGACACCGGCGGCTGCCGGCCGGCGCGCTGGGATACCGCCTATCGGCGCTTATCTTGGGCGTCTGCGCCGCCGGTTACGTAAGCCGGTGAGGGCCGCGCAAAGGCCCCGGCGGCGGTCGCGTCCCCCTGCAGACGGCCGGTCGCACCCGGTGACCCGGCGGCACGCGGCAGGGGGCCGTCCCTGGGCGTGGAGGCGGCGCACCACCCGCCGACTATACGACCAGCGTGACGCAACAACAATGGACCGCGTGACTCATTCGGACAATATGGCAAGGGGGAAGTATGCGTTCGGACAGTGTCAGCGTGACAGCCCTGCCCAACGTCACCGAACAAAGTCGACCTTGGACGTTGATCGGCCCTCATTGACCTGTGGCCGCTCACCAGCCGGGGGCGTCGCGAAACCAGCGCGCGTTGGGTATGCACCCCACGACGATGGGAGCGACAGCACAGCTGGTGTGGCGTACTCAACCGGACTCGGGAGGACGTACGGGAAGTTTCCTCGTCCGCCGCGATTTGGGTAGCCACCGGGTCAATCCGAGCACCGGCGCGAGGTGCCGCGGCGAACAGACGAAAATGTCAGCTGACAGCGTGACAAGCCTGTCGGCATGATTCAGCGGCGGTTGGCAGTGCGGCGGACAGGCTGACAGCTCGGTTCGCGATACTGCCGACCGCAAGCGACGGACAGCGAGCGCCGCCTCGCGACAGGGCCGCGCGCGTCCCGCACACGCCCCCGCTGCTGCCGCCTGTCGGAATGCCCGCGTCCGGGTCTGATCTCATGGGAGCGGCTCCCGCCGCCGGCGGCACCAGACCGGGTCCGCTCCCAGCAGACTGCGCCATGCCAGCGCGTGCACGCGCGCCACGCGAGCCTTCAGGTCGCGTTGCGGCTGCGTTCGCTGACTCAGCGCGCGGAGCGAGGGGGGGGGAACGCGCGGTCAGCGTCACGCGGGTCCCCTCCCTCGCTGCGGCAGTGTGACGGGCCGTCACGACATGACGTGGCGGGCGGGTCGGGGGGGGGGGTCCTGGTGGCCGCGCTCCGGGGGCGGGTCAGATCGAGTTGTCCTCGTCGATGTCGATATCGCTACAAAAGGCGAGCCGACCGAGCGCGGCGGATGCCCCGCGGGAATCGAGGCCGCACGTGTTTGCTACGCTGTGGTCGTCGCCTGTCGCTGAACTCGCCGAGGGCAGGCGCACCGCCGGGCTGGCGGCATCAGAGGTGCCGGCCTGGCTGCCGTTGCGGTAAACCTGCACCCGCCGCCCGCCGCCGCAAAAACGCCGCCGGCTGGAGGGGAAGGGACGAGGCCGGCGTGACTCACGCACACGCGCTCACGCCGCCGCCGGACCCCTCGCGCCGGGCTGACTCACGCACGGCAGCGCGCGCGTGGCCGTGGCCAGCCCCTGCCGTGCGTCCGGCCGGCCCGGCACCGGCGGCCGCGCGCGGGGAGAAGGCGGCGCGCGTGTCGCAAGCGTCATCAAAGCGACTCGACCCGGCCGCCATTTCCTGATTTCGGCGCGGGAGCGGGCGCGCGGCGGTTCGCAGCAGCGACAAGGCCGCTCGCTCGCTCGCGCTGCCGCGGGGCCACCACGGGCCGCCGCGGCGACGCGGGTCACGGCGTCTGAGACCGGCGAACGGGACTGCCGCCCGGTGAGTCACAGTCCGGGCGGCCAGCCGCCGGCGGGAACAACTGCCAATCACCGGCGCAAGGCGGCGGCCGGTCAGCCAAACACGGCGGCGCCGCGTGACGTCAGAGGCTGCAGCAAGGTCGGCCGCTGGACGGACGCCGAGACGGGCGACCGAAGGCCGGGTGCCGCCACCACGTCTCCCGATACTGAAGACTAGCCAGGCTGCGGGTCCAGACTTCCACATGCAGCACACGCGCGCCTTGGGACGCGAGAGGGGACGCGATTACTGACCTGTCAGCAGCACCGGCTCCCGGTTGTCCTCCAGAAGGGCGCTGAACACCATGAACAGGGGGTGGCTGGAGGGCAGCAGGTCCAGGTCCGTGGTGTCATCGTCACAGACGATGAACTCGCGGTACGTCCTGCGCTTCAGCAGATCCTTAGCCTCCTTGTTGGTGGCCAGCTCGGCCAGTGACGCCTTGCCCAGCTGCAGGCGGCGCCGGTTGAAGCGGTCCATACAGTTGAGGTTGATAGCGCCCTGGATATGCGACGTGTTGTACACCATGAACGGCCGCACGTCCAGTAACACGAACGTGTTGTTGCGGCCCGAGCTGAGCCGCCTGGCCAGCTCCTCGCTGCTGCACTGTCGCGTCCGCGCCACCACCAGCGACTTCTTCATCTCGGCCGCCTCTGAGCTTGGCGAGGCGGGCAGGGAAAGCGGACGAAGTCGCACGGGCACAGTCAGGCCGTTGGCCGGCGCCGCCGCCTCGCCCGGCGCACTGATGCTGCGACTGAAGTTCAGCTGCAGCCCTTCTCTCTTCACCTCTCCGCCGATCATCGCGGTGTACGGAGCTCTGGCAGTTGCTGCTCCCGCACGCGCACAGCGACGGTGACTGGCGGCCGGCCGCGACCGCCGCTCGGACCTGAACAGCTGACTGCGCCGCCGTCAGCTGCTGATTCACGAGCACATACACCGCCGCGCTCTCGACCAATCGGCGTGCGGCTCGGGCGGCCGCCGTGCGCAACGCAGGAAATGACTGACGAATGAATGGAGCGACGCTCTCCCAGTCCCAGATCGTGGTGCGTCGGCCCCGGGGGTCGGGGACGTGCGACAGCGGCTTCCACTGAAGCCGATTGCACCAGTCCAGGCACGTGGGGACGCTCGCATCAGCGGTGATTCACCAGGCGCACTGGAAGCGTCGGCCACGTGATGATTAATCGGCGATTGGCGAGGCATTGCAGAGTAGGCAGATTCGATCGAACAACGCAAGCATTGCAAACAGCATTAGTGGACGATGACGCATGCCACGAGTCCGCCCGCCGTGCTGACTGCCAGCTCCGTCTGCGACTGCGGTAGGCCCGCGAGGTATTCTGGGCACTGCAAACACCAGCAGCCGGGCCCCGCAATATGTTTATGAGACCCGCTCCCTCACAGTGCAGCTCGTAAAGCTGTGAGTCAGAGCCGGCATAGTTGTATGCATTCTTTGCCAGCCATGTGACGTCCCATTCCATCCTCTGTTAGTTTCGGAGCCAAAATAAGCTGTCACCCAGGCTATTCCAGGGCTATATGTTTCAGCGCATGGTGACATCACGAGGATCAAGAGATCCTGCCGCCATTATTCAAACGGCAATCGTCCGAGCGTATTGTGGCTCGCGTCTGAGCAGTTAAGTGTTTTTTGCGTACTAATGAGAAAGAACGAACGGTCGTTTATTAAGAGAAATGGTTGTCACGGAACAGCGCTGCATTTGGAGCATTAATAAGGGCCATCTGCGATTCGGTGGGAGTAATTCACACCTGCGCGGGCCTTTGGGAGACGAAACTGCGCTACTCCACCGCCAACGTTCAATACTGCAGGTCAGTTCCCAGGTGCTGTCTTGGCTCCCAAGATATCGAGCGCCCTTCAAGACAGGATCGGTGGCCATGCTGGCTTCAAAACATAAAGGAACACGCCGTTGTTATACATGACGTCACCGTTTTATACAAGACATCTGTGAGTAAGTCTGAAGGTCTTTGTTCGCCTTAAGCCATGCATGCCAGTTACTGAACTGAAAATAAGTCATGCAACAGACGTCACGAACGAGACCGGCAGTCATGAACGTGCCCTCCTTACTACGTCGCTGTCCAATTGGACAATAGCGACCAAAGCCCCCGCCTCACCGTCTGAATGCTGCGTGGGTGCATCTCACTCTACCTTTACACATCAATGTTCGTGAAAAGCGTCCACCGCATCACCACACGCGTCTTTACAGTGCGCGTAAAGAGGATTGTTTCCATTGTCATGGTCATAGGTCTACAGTGGACCCGTGCATAGCCAAACATGACAGCAACGTACAACTTCCAATGCCATTTCTAGAGACAGATAACACCTCTTCATGACGGTACATTAAGTCGGTCCAAGCTAGTCTGGTAACAAATTGGAAATGTACGACATCTAGGATAAAAGGGAGCGAATGCCATTAGTGTTTCCGGGACTATTGAAACAGCCGGTAACACTACGGAAATGTTTTCATTTCATCGTGAGGTACTTGTCCTAAATTCTTGTTCGCAGCACTTCATGACTGGATCACATGGAGCCATATCCGCAGGCGTCAGTGACGAGCAGGTACATGGCGGCGGCACGGAAACCCTTCCGGGGCAAAATTCATTACCTATTTTGATCGATCTGAACGGAAAGGACGGGTTTCGCTCTTGCGCTCCCTCGTTTTCGACATTTAGGATGTGGTACCAAATTAGGTCCTGTCGAACACTTCAAGCTTAGAAAGGACCGTCAGGATAAGAGAACGAGCTGAATGACATGGGGCAGTGTAAGATCTCCCGAGTGGGATGGGTGGTGGCGGTACCCACTTCGTGATTCCGGAGAACGTAATGGCCCTAGGACCAATGCCAAATTTTCAGAAATGCGGGCCTCAGGTACCTTTTTGTCCTCCTACGATTTTTCTGTTTCAGTGTTCTCCATTTTCTCCATTGTTCTCCATCCTATATCGCGAGGACGTGGCCGGTCAGGACGATGAAGAAGTGCAACGCGCACCCTTGCATCAGCAGAGCGTATTCAATGGTGGTGTTGCTCGTCTGGAGAGGAGAGGGAGGGGGCTCAGAGCAGCCTCATCCGATGTTTTGGATAAGCTTTTACGTCGTTGCAAAGTACGCGCGTGCTCACCAGTTTTTTTAGCAAGTGGCAAGGGACCTCGTATCCGGTAAACGTTGATGCCCTGGGTCACAGAGTTACAACGTTATTAGTTTAGGCTTGCATGACTGTCTGTGCTTTCACCAGCAACAGTTCACAGTTACCTTTCCAGTTCCCAGTTGTTTTGATTTACTTAAGGCATCATCTACAATTTGTTTCGTTTCGGTCAAGTAAGTACATGTGCCAAAAGGTCCTGACAAATTACCAACAGAGTTCATGTGGCTTCAGCTTGTTAACATTGAGCGCAAGTGATGCCGTGCTCACACACTTCAAATGCAAATTAAAACTTGCCTAGATCGTTGTCACCATTATAATTACAGTATTACAGGTCCTATGAAATAGGAACAATGTATCATTTGTGAGATGGCCTGACCTCAGTTTGACTTAACCTTAATTCGGTCTGACCTAAGTCATTGACCGTTGAGAGCATTGCATGTTGACAACGAGGAAGAGAACGACCTTTTGTTTGGCGACTGCCTCAAAGTTCCGCGACCATTCTTACGGGTAATGGAAGATCCCCGAACAACGAGGAAGAGAACGACCTTTTGTTTGGCGACTGCCTCAAAGTACCGCGACCATTCTTACGGGTAATGGAAGATCCCCGAACCTGCCAGACCTTTGGAATGCTTCATGCATGTGATGTGGCCTATGACGTCATAAGTGTGGCGAAAGGTGTGCGCAAAGTGCCAAAATGGCGAAGGCCACCTGTGGTCTTTCGCATTTCCCCGGCACGATAACTCAACCCTGAGACGTAATTCGCGTGACCCCTGGCAGTACGGTTGGCGAAACGCTTGACGTGTAGCGCTGCCTGCTCCGATGTGAACGCGAAGGGTCGGGAGCGAGGTGTCGTTCTTGAGGTCGGCCGGCTGCGTCAGGATCGTAATGGTGTGGTGCGATTATCAGCATTGTCAAGCGGGTGCAGCCGTCGCTCTGACACCCGGACTAAAAAAGTGTTCGGGGGATTCAAATGATTAACTAGGCAGTGGTTTACTGTCAGAGTTGGCTCCCAACGGAGAGATGCAAAGACCTAAGATGGTCAGGGCGTGCTGACAAGAAGTTTGGCCAGAGCTCGTGGGGAGAGGAAGGCCAGAGCCCGAACTGCAAACAGCTGCTTTCGTCGACAAATTAACGGAAGTTCAGGCCCATCCCATCCGCCCTACTGGCCCAACGATTTTGCATTTTGCAAAGAGGAAACTCGGCGAGCAGACTGCATTGAGAACGGTGTCTTCGGAGGCCGCAGCATCTGTCGTGGCCCGGTCAACGACATCCGTGCATCTCTTTAACTTGTAGCAGCGGGTTAGTAGTTCACATCAATAACAGATTTCCGTACACAAAAGCAGTCGCAACTCGCGCCGTAGCCGCAAATGTCAAAATGTGATGAGTCAAAGCCAGCGCGCAGAGCTGACCGCTGGCTCAGGTGGCAACGGCCATGAGCGTGACAGGCTTGACCGTTGGTTCGCCGGCATCACGTCAGGTCCCACCAGCCGGGTCAGTGGCCGCCCTCCCCGCCCACGGCCGCGCGGGGCACGCACCGTTCGACCTTTCCCACCGGGGACGATCCGAACCAGCGCGCGCGGACGGCGCCGCGCCCCGGGGCGCCCTCGCTCGCCGCGCCGCCCATTAGATGACGTAGCAGCGGCGCCTCCCGGACCATGGGACGGATTCGACCAGCCGGGGGGGGGGGGGGGGGGGGTGATTCAGCCCGTGCGGAGGAATGCGCGCCACCAGACAAGCTCCGATGAAGACGCGTCGGCGCGGGTCGGCCGGGTCACGGGATGGGCGGGCGGCCACTCATCCCGCAGGCTCGTCGCCACCCCGCGCTGGAATGTCGGTGAGGTCGCTCGGGACCAGGCGGAGCGTGGGAGGGACGCTGACGAACTGACGTCAGGACGGCACGTGACGCAGCGGCGACGTCCGACGTGGCCACGTGCTGAGTTTTCCGTTTCAACAAAGCTTGAATCAGGTGTTACGTGAGTGACTTGGAACGAAATCCCGATGCATGATTCAAATGCACCTCACTTGACAAAAATAGGATTCGAATCTACCACTGACCCCGATCAACAGTAAAGCATCGTGTTTAATCTCATCCCAAAATTCAAGTGAGATGAGTGAATGTGTGACCAGACCTGCGCTGAGATGGCTGAATGTGTGACCAGACCTGCGCTGAGTTCAACTCCACTTGAGTTGAATCGATTTGGGATCGAAATAATCGGGCGCTGGATCAAGATTCGAATCAAACTCTCGTTCTAAATAGATACCAGTTCATTTCTGTCGTCGAACATAGCGCATTAGCAAGAACGTTTTGTGCTCTAAGTTCAATTAAGCCAAATAAGATGTGAATTGTGATTGGAGACAACAGAATTAGAATACAAACGAATATTTCAACGTAAGGGCATATATGCAGCAAGGCAGCCAGTGCTCTCAAATGCCTTGCAGACCCATGATGGATGTCCGGACTTGATGATCTCTGGACATTTCAACACGCATCCTGTCAGTAAGCTACGGCACATTGGCATAGGATACAGATAAACTACAAATTGCAAACAAGGCTGCCGAATAATTCCTTATTCATTTTCATTACAGCTTTTACACGGCCGTTCATCGAAGTTTTGATAACAGCTATTACTAGCTACTGTTTCGATATCACTTCGTGTTGATTCATAAACAACTGATTTAAGCCTCAAGAATAAAAGGAAATTGGATGCAGCATTTCCTTAGAAACTATGGATGCGAATTAA